AACTTTTTTTCGAGTCAATCAGAAAATTTATTGATGTATTTTTGTACAATGGCAGGACTAGTAACATTTTTGATGTTGAGATATGTCAGAATTTGTTTAGTTAGATACAGTCGAAAAATAATTTTCAGTGTTAGGGGTTGTATAGCGGGAATGCTAGGTGTTATTTTTTCCTGATAATCAATCTGTTTCGCAACAATCTGTTGAAGCGATTTTTATTTACGGTGCGACTGTAGAAAATATTTGAGGGAACTTGTATCCAAATTCATAACTACCGGTAGTGTACATAACAAAAAGCCCCCAGGTCAACCGTCCATTCCGGAAGAATAGCAAGTGCAAATAATTCGTGATATGGTAGTAAATCCTGAACAGTCTAGTTATTCCGTTGCAAATGTTTGTGAGGTGTCTCCTTCTACTATTTGGAGACTTTTGAAGAGGAATAGGTATCATCTATAGAAAAAGTAACTGATATAGTAATACTTAAAGCTATCGGCGAACTCAAAGGCCAAAAAACCAATACCAAGAAAAAATGCCGCTACAAATTAGTTCACGTGAAGAACTGGTGGTTCGTATTGGATAATTTTTACTAACCGAGTATTATGATTTGCTGAAGAGTCATAAAATTAAATTCGAAGTCATATTACGGTGACTAATAGAATGCGAGCCATTGTGTTGTGAATGTTCAGTTCAGGAATTCGATATTGGTGCAGTTATAATTACTTAAAATTTTTGTTCTGTTCTGTTCAGAATGTGTGACAACAACGCAGACTTTTTCCTGTGTGGTGATTCAAATAGCGCTGGTAGTGAATAAGATTCGGATGCATTACAAGCAACATCAGATTTCACCGAAACTTCTTTCTCAACTGTACGTAAAATAGTCAAAAACAAACCTTATGAACGCAAGACGCGATGTGATACGGGATTACCAAAACCTTTAGATGTTCATTTAATAAAATCATTAAAAAAAACAATATATGACTGTTAAAAACGCAATGGGGTTCCTACAATTGAAATTATAAGGAAGAAATTGAATAATTGCGGCCAGAATGTGAGCTGCTGTGACAAAACACTTCAGAATTGGATAAAGAAACTAGGATTTAGACTTGAAATAATAAACAAACGTCAATCAGTTATGGAAAGCAGAAGAATAGTGGAATTGCGTAACAAATACTTGGAACAAATGGCAGTGCACAGACAAAATTGCCGTTATTGGAGTGACACCAACCCTTACGTTTTCCGGGGAACACATACCCAATATCCAGAAAAAAATAACGTTTGAGCAGGAATATTGGGAAACCATATTGCAGGACCTCTATTTATTGATTGAAATTTTACAGGGGAATTGTATTTGAATATGCTGGAAACTACTGTTGACCCTCTCATCACTGAAATCGTCGAAGCGAATCCTAATGAATTCGATATGGATATTGTATTCCAACAAGATGGAGCTTCACCACATTACTTCAGACAATTAAGAAACTTTTTGGATAATATTTTTCCCGGTCGTTGGATTAGCGTCGAGGTCCTACAGAATGACCAGCCCGCTCGCCTGACTTGACACCTTTTGGGGCTATTCGAAGCAAAATATGTATGAAACTGAACTCGCTTCAATATTGGATATACGGCAGAGAATAATAAATATTTGTAGAGATATTGACGTTACTGTGTTCGAAAATGTTCGGCGTGAAATATCGGATAGGCTGTTCATATGCCAAGAAGTTCAAGGCAACCATTTCCAGCATCATCTGAGCTGACCTCAAGATTATTACCTCATATTATGTAGATGAATGTCAATGTATTTAGGCAATTATTGAAAGTTCCGTCATTTTGTAATAGTTGAAGATATTGACATTATTCGAGTATTCTAGGGTTGTGAAGCATTTGCGAGGAGATTCAAAAAGATGTGTCACAAGACCCCCTTTCCATTTAATTTTTTTCCAGATGGCGCCCAGTCGCCATCTTGAATGTTTCATCTGTCAATTCCACTTCAAAATAAAGTGTTCATGCATTAATTTCTAGCCGTAATTTAAGTTATCGAATAAAGTTGACAAGCTTGACTAAGATTACTACTTATTATTTATTGATGAATAATCACATATAGCTTTAACAATATCATACTTTAAACCTCTATAATCCAAACCGTGATGTTATATTAGCATAATCTTTCAATTGTTTTCACATTAGAATCACTTGAAAAGCATTTTCGAGTATACCTAAAGTGGCCCTGATGTGAAGAACATGTTATTTGTATGTGAAACCAAATCTGGGTGAAAACTTAATCAGCGTGTGAAATATATACAGAATTTCTTGGAGTTTCAAAATAAAATTCAAATTAGCGTGAAGGCAGAACAAACCATTCAAT